AAATTTCTCTTTTTTAATAAAAGATGATTTCTAGGAAAGTAAATAGAATTAGAAATGATAGGAAATAGAGTAGAAAAGCAGAGAACACATTCTAGAAAAAAATGAGTGGTGAGAAAACTCAAAAACAAAAGGAGCATAAAGTCATGCTATCATTTATTAAGTATTTATATAGTTTATTACACACCCATTACTGTTGCTGGGGTCTGCCAATCATTTAGAGTGCATTTTTACGGCCTCTGAACCAAACAGTCTACATAGGAACTTCAGACATCCATATAATCCAATTAATTATAAAGTAATACCAAAGAGAATCTATGCTATTCAACGTACACTAATGACTTTAAGACCTCTAACTACTATAAAGAAAAAGAAACATCCAGGTGTGTCCTAGCAGTCAGGGAGGTTTGCTGGAGAACATGGCACATGAAGTGGGTTTGAATATAGAAAATATGTCCATGAAACAGCATGAAAAATGCGTAAATTAATACTGGGATTATGACCTCAAATAGCAAATATCTTACATATAGGCAAATTCTTCTTTGAATCAAGAAAAGAAACTGATGATTGAGTGGTATATTGAAAATTATTTGATTCATAAAGCTCTGAAATGAAGCAATATCCTCTTGGCTTTTGTCATCCTTGAATGTGTTCACCAACCATAAGTTTCACTAACTTGTTTTCCTGTTCCTCTGTCTTTGTTTCTTATTGCCTTACTCTTAGCTCACACATGTATGGTAAAGTGCAGTGATACAAAAAAAAAAATGGGGCAGTTATTATTAAACTATTCCAGAATAGTCAGAAATCTGCTTTATTTGAACAAGCACTAGGGAACTGTTTTGGTTCCTTGGAAAAGTAAAGAAGAGGTGTAATAAAATGTAGTAGGCAGAAAACATTCAAAATTAGAAGACTTAAATCTAGTACTGAGTTTACCAATGCACAGATTCCTAAATGTTTTAGACTATTCAGATTACAAACTTTGATCACATGATAAATAATGAACTTAGGATATGTCATGTACAGGAACCTAATAACCTCAAAGAATGTGAACATTATGTATAGTAAACATGAGCTGAGAGTAATAGCAAAACAAGAATAAGATGGGGGAAGGGTATTTAGAGGCAGAGGAAGGGAGGTGGGTGGGAAAAAGAAAGAGATTTAAAAAGTAACAAGCTGTATTGTGTACATGTACCTACTCCCGAGATAAGCGTAAACTTAATGTACTGCAAACATAATAAAATAATAAAAACTAGAGAAAAATAAATCAGTAAAAAGAACAGCACATAGTTCACGCTTATAAGAAGCTTATAACATAGAGAAAGTTTAAGGAGAAAATTTCAACCGTTTTGATAAAGCACTGAGGCTGTTCACCAGTTACTCATTGCAGGCAAGAGCACTTAGTATACTTGCCTCCCCCAGGAGATGAAGACACTTGTGCTGATAACTAGATTGTCTGGGTCAAATGAGCCAGCTTCCATGACAGGATCTCATTCTGTGAGGTCTGATACAAATAAAGGGTGCTGTAATTGTGTGGAACTCCCTCAGCTACTATAGCATGGCAGTGGTAATGAATGTGAACATACACAAATGTATCATATTGAGCAAGTCCTTACATTTACAGCCAATTTTCTTCCTCTTTCCACCATCATCAGTATTTACTGGGCAACTACCATGTGCAAGGTACTATGTTATATGCTGGAGAAGATACAAAGATAAATCTGACAGCCTGCCTCAAAGGGCTTACAGTCTAGGAGCATAGTGTCTGGATACTTTAGGCGTAATTAAACTTTCCCCTTCATTCAACCTCCCAAACAACAAGATTCCTAGACCTGGTTTCTATTTCCTTTTTTTTATAATTCTTGGGGATAAGGTCTCATTTTGTAGTTCAGGTTGGTGTTGAGCTCACTGTGTCACTCAGGCTAGACTCATACTTAATGTGATCCTTCTGCCTCAGCCTCTCCAGTGCTGGAATTATAGGCATGCACCACCATACCTGACCAGACTTGGTTTTTTCTTTTTACTTTTAGTTCAACAAGTTCACATTGAAACCTTAAATCTGAAAGTCTTTTACTTGTAAACAAAATTCATTTTCATTAGAAAAATGCTGAATATTTATTGCAGTTAAGAAAATCCTTGTATAGTCAATACTCTCATGAATCTTTCTTGTGAATCTGTATTATGAAAGTAAATGATTTGCCAAATTGCATAAAAAATGTGCAACTTTTTGTGTTTTTTTTGGTTTTTTTGTTTTTTTTTTTTGGTTTTTCTCTGGTACCGGGAACCGAACTCACGACCTTGCGCTTGCCAGGCAGGCGCTTTGCCGCTGAGCTAAATCCCCAGCCCCTAAACGTGCAACTTTTTAAAAGTGGTCTCTAAACTTCTGGCAATCTCTTGTAATGTACAGAGGTCCTCCGTTAAAAGCAAGGAAAACTTCTGAAAAGGATAATTGTGTAGTTACAATCAAAGGCCACAGTTTACAGTCCTCCCTCCCATAAGCCCATTACATGTTGATTAAAGTAGTTTTAAAAGCCCCCACTAACCTATAGCCACACAATTCAAACCTTTAGATTTTTATAGCCCATTTCTAAGATCAACTGGCTGTCGAAACCTACAAAAGTAAATTCATTCCAGAAAACAAAACCCAAAATGATCTGTTTTTCTATTTCACCTTTGGGAATTTCTAAAGCCTGTTGTTTCCTTTGCAGCAGAAAGAAACTAAAATATAAGCAGTTACAGGAATGAAAAATACTGGTTTAGCTCTTGTATGGGTTAAACTACTAGAAAGAAGGGTATGCCAGTACTGTATATTAAAATAAATTCATTTCTAACTGCATTTAGCAAACCTCTTGTAATTATTCTCTTTTCAGAACCATCTCTGAGCTCAGACACTTCTGGTCATGCTGAGTTTGTTATTAATCTGAGGCCTTGTATCTTTGTAGAGCCTTAATGAGACTTCTTTACAACTAAGAATATAGTCAATCTTTCAAAATGTAGAATTACAGTAGACTAATAAAGCTGCACACACTAAAAAGAGATTCCAGTGGAGCACACTTATCCTGAGCAGCATCTCTCAGTTAAGTAAAAATGAAAACTTTTACCCATACTGTGCTAATTGAGCCTTCCTACTTCTCTCTCTCACCAAACACTAAAAATACGGTATTGCCAAATAAACCAGCTGCAACTGGGGCTGGGGATTTAGCTCAGTGGCAAAGCGCCTGCCTGGCAAGTGCAAGGTCGTGAGTTCGGTTCCCGGTACCAGAGAAAAACCAAAAAAAAAAAAAAAAAAACAAACCAGCTGCAACTTAAATATCAATATTCGTTACTAGACTAATAGATCCACTTAAAATAAAAATATAATGAACTGTTAAACTAGAACTCAGGTCTAGTTAAAATGACAGGCTTCTCATAAATGTTTTGCTTGAGAACATACCCAATTTTTATAATACAGGCATTTTTCTTAAAATTGAAATTAATTTTTAAAAATAATATGAAATAAAATAAAGTCATCAATAAGCTGGTAAGTCGTTGAGTGGTACAGGTATTGTAATGGTTTCTTCTGAATCTCTGAAACTAATTTTTAAAATAAAAATGGTTAGGTCTCTGGAGGAAGATGGCCTAAATATAAAATATCATGAAGTTGTTGAGATGATCTCATCCTTTCCTTTACTCTCAAGATTTCTATTTTTTTCTTCCACAGATTTAAGATACATTCTTGTCAATTCCTTTCCTTTCTCCCAGTATCCCAAGTGCAGTCTTCCTGCCTGACCTCATTCCAAGGATCATTAATTTATTTTGTAGCATAAGCAGGTGTATCACAGCTCTCTGGCTCTGATTTTATGTTGCTCCTCTTTCCAACTCCAAAACATGCAGATATTTGCATTACAGTCATGAAGAGAATCCAAAAGCTAAAGTCTCCTTACATGAGAAACAAGGACCATGCTCATTAAAGAACTCTAACTGGACCAGTTGCAATAACTACATGTATCAAAACATTGCTTAGTAATCTTTAGCATAAAAATTATTAAATGTCAATTAAAGGAGGGGGATATAGCTCAGTGGCACAAGTGGCTGCATGGCAAGCACAAGGTCCTGAGTTCGATTTCTGGTACCAAAAAATAAAGGCAATTAAAAATAAAATTTAAGCCGGACATGGTGGAACATGCCTGTAAGCCCAGTACTCAGGAGGCTAAGGCAAGAGGATCTCTGTGAGTTGAGTCTGAGGCCAGCATAGGCTACAAAGTGAGATCAAAGCCAGCCTGAACTGCACAGGAAGACCCTGTCTCAAAAAAATAAATAAATAAATAAAATAAAACAAAAATTTAAAGTACCTTTTAAAGACATGGAAATTGCACTTTTTGCATATTTAAATTCCCTCACTTATTTAAGAGTAGTGTAAGTAGAAAATGTATGAAACAAAGAGGAGAAACTCTGTCCTGTTTCAGATGTCTTGGCCTATTTAGTGCTGAGATGTCAGAGGTGGAATATTTGTGTTTCAATTCCTGTAATTGAAATATATTTGGCAAAAATAAAAACAGTCAATAAAAGGACGACAGTCACCATGTGTTCATACATTGTACTTGTATTATCTAAGTTAATTTTTAAAACAATCACACATTTTATACTCTTATCATTTATGTTTTACAAATAAAAATAACTGAGGCACGCTGAAGTTCATAACTCTTAAGTGATAAAGACAAAATTCCAACTGTAACATTCTGGTTCCTGAGTCCACACTCAGAAGGACAAAAACTTAATGCCCTTATAAAAAACAGACACACTGGGAAAGCTTATATATACAAAAATAGAGAGAGAAATAGGCAGTGCATAATTAGTACTTTCTTTTCCTAGCTTTAAAACTGGGAAAACACAGATTGAAAGAGAAAGAAATTGATAATCTGAGTCTGACAATATACTTAAAGTGGAAGCATTGGGACCATGTTTACACTATTATGACAGTATTGTTTTCTCTCTCTGAAGTTCCTTGGTAGAAACAGGTTGTTCAGATGCAGAGCTTGAACAGAACCGTTGTGGTTACACAGTTCGTCCTCGTCGGCTTCTCCAGCCTTGGGGACCTCCAGCTCCTGCTTTTTGTCACCTTCCTTCTCCTCTACTTAACAATCCTGGTGGCCAATGCCACCATCATGGTTGTTATTCGCGTCAGTCGGTCTCTACACACTCCCATGTATGGTTTTCTCTTCATCCTCTCTTTCTCTGAATCCTGCTACACATTCGTCATTATCCCTCAGCTGCTGGTCCATCTACTGTCAGCCACCAAGATGATCTCGTTTGTGGCCTGTGCAACCCAGCTTTTCTTCTTTCTTGGCTTTGCCTGTACAAACTGCTTTCTCATTGCCGTGATGGGATATGATCGCTATGTCGCAATTTGTCACCCTTTGAGGTACATGATCATCATGAACAAAAGGCTAGGATTGGGCATGGTTTCTCTATCAGGAGTCACAGGTTTCTGTATTGCTTTGGTGGCCACTAACCTCATCTGTGACATGCCTTTTTGTGGCCCCAACAGGGTCAATCATTACTTCTGTGACATGGCACCTGTTATCAAACTAGCCTGCACGGACACTCATGTAAAAGAGCTGGCTCTATTCAGCCTCAGCATCCTGGTGATCATGGTGCCTTTTCTGTTAATTCTCATATCCTATGGCTTCATAGGGAACACCATCCTAAAGATTCCCTCAGCTGAGGGCAAAAGGAAGGCGTTTGCCACCTGCGCCTCCCACCTCACTGTGGTCTTTGTCCACTACGGCTGCGCATCGATCATCTACCTTCGGCCCAAGTCCAAGTCTGCCTCTGACAAGGACCACTTGGTGGCAGTGACTTACACAGTGGTTACTCCCCTACTCAATCCTCTTGTCTACAGCCTGAGGAATCAGGAGGTAAAGACTGCACTGAAAAGAGTTATGGGAATGCCTATAGCTACCAAGATGAGCTAACAACAATAACAAAAAATAATTCCATATTAACTTGGAAAATCATAGAAGAAATCAAAGACTTGGAATTTTCTGTACTTGGACAGTGTTTCCTATTCCCAGAAGAAAATGCAAGTTAATCTGCATGCTAAATTGTTTAATGACTCACTGTTGTTTAATGACTCAAAGAAAGACAGAAAAGGACCCACAAGTGAGAGGGAAAGAGGGAGGGAGGGAAGAAGGGAAGGTGAGTGGGAAGCATGGATTTCTGTTTCTTTAGGACAAAGACATCCCAAAATGAAAAGTAAGCCAAGAATTGTTTTTGCTGGTTGAATAAAGAAAATAAGATCTAAAGTGGCTGATCTTATCCAAGACATAAGCATTTGGCTAATAAATTGACTCTCTTCCAAGTCTCATGAAAAAGGAAAAATTCTTTTTTTTTTTTTTTTGGTTTTTTTTCTGGTACCCGGAACCGAACTCGCAACCTTGCACTTGCCAGGCAGGCGCTGTGCCTCTGAGCTAAATCTCCAGCCCCAGAGGAAAAATTCTTAACTTTTGTTTTCGATGGAATTTTGGGGTGGTTGTTTGTTTTGTTTGCCGTACTGAGACTTCTGCGGGCTGGGGAAGCTCTCTACCATGAAATCTCACCCCCTCTCTAAAGAGGAACAATAAAAATAAATACATTAAGAGTGTATGATGGTGGGAGACTGGCTATTAGAAAGATAAATAATGAAATAAAATATAATGATGCAAAATAATCTGAAGTATTAAAAAGATACATAATGGTTATGAGAATCAAACCTTTTGATTTATTCCTTCAGAAAGCCAAAAACATTTGGAATAAGGGGAGCAAGAAAATTTGAACTGGACCCTGAACAAAAAACAAGATTTCAATACTAAGAAACTGGGTTTTTCCACTGATAGACATGTTAGTCACTCTTACTAGCATCGTTGATTTTTTTAAAAACTAGTGATTTTTGTTATGCTAATTATAAATTAAACATTTCACTTTTTGTTACAGTTTTGCTTTGTCATCATACAGTAATATTTGTAAGTCTTTCAGAGAATTGAATTTTATTTAATAAAGAACTAAAATGTTTCAACTTTTTCATGCTTGCTGATCAAAAAGAAATAGCATACAAGAGGCAAATGTGGCCCTGATCTTTTAGCTGACTGTCCTTGCTATGATGATCGCATAGCATTTATATGAATCTAACATCTTAATGTCATAATTTGTACTATAAATATTGTACAGAATTTATTTAAGCCCTGACTCTATTAGTTTTTAAACTATGTGATTTGAGACGTGGGATTTAAAATTTATGAAAATGATGAGCCTTGATCTTTATCTCGACAAAAGAGGTTTGTTTGTTTGGTTTTAGGGGGGCTCTTGTTGCTGTTCAGTGAATATATATCTATGAATTAATATCTTGCTATCACAGTGCTTGTCTTCTAGTAGGAAAAGCTGATTACTGTTAATTATGCTTGTTTTTCCTGCCTAACAATCAGTCCACCTGAGAGAGCATCTCTGCATGGTTAAAACGATGTTCTATGACACAAGTGAAAATATGTTTCAACTGCATGGATGTATAAATGATATATAAATAAGAAAAATAGTTTCATATAAAAGGTTAAGCAGCTACTATCTCTCTGGAAAACATTGATTGATTCCTAGCATAACTGAACTAATACTGACAGGGCTTCAGTATGACAGTATGACAGGCATACATTAATTGAAATATATTTGTTCCCAGAGTCTTTTATAAGAGTTCTCATGATTATCCTAGTCTACTTGTGGAAGGTAATCTTTATACTCTACAACCTGTTGATAATATGATTGAAAAAAGATTGCTTCTGATACATCTAAGGTGAATATTTTGGAAAGACTAAATCAGAGCAAAAGAAATGAAATGAAAATTTTAAAGTGTTATTTAATTAGATTATCTTGAGAGTGTTTCTAAGTTCAGAATAAGGTAATGTATTCTAGGTGGCAAATGCTAAGAGTACTCTTAGGAACTCCAGTTAAGTTGGCCAATGCTCATAAAATGAAAATATCAGTATGCACATATATGCATGAATTTAAATGTTTTGAGCTGAACCAATACTATTACATGAGTGGTCTTTCTGATTTTTAGTTTTTTTATCCTTTGGATTAATCACTTCATTAGCTGGCTTTATTAGATTAGATGTTCTATTGTACATTTTCAACTACGTACAAAAAATATTTTTACTAAGGATGAGAATAGGAAATTCTAATGGCTTTATTAGATCAAATGTTCTATTGTACATTTTCAACTATGTAAAAAAAATTTTTACTAAGGATGAGAATAGGGAATTAACATACCCAAAATTAAAATGTGCTAAAATGATTGGTATGTATTGATTACTTCTTCCTTAAAAGTTATTTAAGGCTGTATAATTTTATGAATTGCTGTATAACTGACGGTCCCGATGCAGGTACAGTTCTTGTTTTCCTAAATTATCACATGGTTTGCTCAGTCTTGCATCCTTAAATCTGGTAATTTGAGCAGTTTAGTTGAAGATAACAATATGTAATATAACAACCACTGTTAATTCCTATCATTTTGTTTTGAAACCCTGTATCATTTTTATTGTGTTTGCTTTTTGTTTTTGTCTACATTTTTGTTATTTTGTTATTGTTTGTGTTTTGGCCTTTTTAAAATAAAAAAATAAATAAATTATCACATTCCTTGGTTGCAAGAAACTCTTGAAAACAGCTAAAATGAAAACACCTCAGCTGTCTTTCTTCTATTCTGAATTTTTTTCTTTCAGAAACCCTAGGGACTTACACATTTGAAAGAAGATTAAGAGTAGTCTCCACACTAAAATAAGGCAGATTTGTCCTGTGCAGCTCCTCTTTCCCGCCACCAGCAAGATTCCTGGTAGCTGCCCCTGAGGAGCAGCAGGCACTAGGGGCTCTCACTCTCATAGAAGGCTTCCCAGGGGCATGGTGTTCACATCTCTCCCATATGTTCGTATACTTCTCCCACATATTTCTACCTTGGAACTCCCTCATGTGTGTACCCCCTGGGCTTTCACTCTGTCCTTCACCAGTCCCCATTCACAGCTCTGTCCTGAGCTGCAGCTGCTTCAGGAACACAGAGGCAAACTTTGCTCTTCTCTGCAGGCATCTCAGACGCCATGTTTGTCGCAGTTCTCTGTTCTCTAAGGAAATCTATATCTATAAGATGGGGGTTTTTCCTCTCAAACTCGGAAATGCCAAAAAATCCAATTATTCTTTCTCCCATCTTTCCAAGGCAAAGTACTCTTGTAACTCTAGGGCTGCTTCTCTATAATCATCAAATGTGTGCCCCTACTCAGCGAAAGTTTTCGCTGGTGATTTTCTCACCAAAAAAGTAAAGAAACTGAGAAAATGATACTGAGATTCAAAGCTAGCAGATTGCTTTCTTCAACAGGGTGTTCTACACCAACGGTTATTTTTTCAATAATAAACAATAATAAGCTTTAAAGGAAGATTGCTCAAAATATTCTACAAAATGTTACATTTAAATAAGGGGATAATTTTTAAAAGGGGAGTCATAGTTTTTTGTTTTGTTTGTTTTGCTTAGAAGTGATATCAGTATTAACTTTTAACAAGAGAAGTTGTAGGATATTTAATTTATTGTTTGTTAGACATTTCTTGAAATCATTCATAAACATGTGTTAAATGATTAATATATTCATTACAAATGTACATGTTTGTTTCGACCAACATTTTGAAATGTAAACGGTTCTTTTGAGATTTTGTTTTATGAAAAATATCAACATTTTGATAACCAAATAATAAGAGAATAACAACAGCTATTACACTGTGCATCATTATCTTCAAAGTAGTTACTCGGTGCAAGACATAAACCAAAAAGATTGTTACAAAAAAGCAACAGATAACACACTTTTTTTTCTTGTTTTATTATTTTCAAAAGAAAAAAATAAAATTAGAACAGACTCTCAAAACAGGCTAATAGGAGAGTAACAATAATTACTGCATTGTGTATTATTATATTCACAGCAATTACTCCAAGATATAGGCATGAAATATTATTCAAACAGCATTAGAACAAACCTTTCGTTTCAATGAACTAAGAGAAACTAACTGTATAACTATCTTAACTAACAATGATAAACTATTATCCCCAAAGTACATTTATTTTTACTGCTTTAAAAAATCCTTCCCATTTGTATAGTAAAATTAGTTAATTATTTTTGCAATTAGTAAATAATGAAGAGAACCTAAATAATAAAGGAAAAAGCTCATACTACCACGGTAATAATTTTTAAAACTATCCATCCTCTTTGGCACAGTAAAATTATTTTTGAAGCTAATTGCTGGAGACCGGGCTGTACAGGGTTCAGTTGGTGAATGAAGAGACCCCTGGCTGTGTTGAAAAAGTACAAATTCACAACCTCTTTAAAGACAAGATAATGCCGCAGCTGCGGGGCTGACAATCCCCATTCCAGAGCAATAATACTGTCAGCCTTGGAGATCAAATTTCTCTTAATTAGCAATATTTACTGGTTTGTTCTAAATTCTTTCCTGGGCATTTGTACCCCCACTTCCTGCAGCCCCAAATCTGTGGAAACCCAATAAATATGAGTTGTTCAGAGCACTCAGGGCCTTAACTCCCAGAGAGTTTTGACCTTCCCGGACTCTCCAAACCATGTTACAGTGTCTCTTTTATTTAAGCCTTCACCATAACTCATTTTAGGAGACTAGTGGCTAGGCCAAGTCTCTGATAAGTAATAACTAAAAGAACCTACAAAATAAAGGAAAAAGTTTCATGCTATAACACAGATACCAGAACACAATTGTGGTCTTTTTAATAAGTAGTTATTTTTTAAAAAAATTTTAAAACAGGCTTACACTGTCTTTTGTAGAGACTAAATGGCCAAGGGACGCATCATCAATAGCAATGCTCATTCGTAGAAGCCAATAATACTTATTAACCCTGAATTCATTCTCTATCTCTGTCTCTTTCTCTGTCTCTGTCTCTGTTTATCTCTGT